GGCTGGGCCACCCCCCGAGCCTTTTCAATGTATAAAATGGAATACTCTTACCTCAATTCCTCCGCCTACGAGTCGTGTATGGCTGGGATGGACACGTCCAGCCTGGCCTCGGCTTACGCGGACTTCAGCTCCTGCAGCCAAGCCAGCGGCTTCCAGTATAACCCCATCAGGACCACTTTCGGGGCCACCTCTGGGTGCCCGTCCCTCACGCCCGGATCCTGCAGCCTGGGCACTCTTAGAGACCATCAGAGCAGTCCCTACGCGGCAGGTAAGAAGGAGATCGCCCGCCAGCCCGCCCGCTTGCCCACTCGCCCGCCCGGCTAGCCAGGACGACTCGAGAGGAGGACCGGGGGTGGCGGGGGGAAGGAAGGAGGACAGGCAGGCGAGCGAGATGGGGGGGAAAGAAAAGCCCAGCCCAGCCGAAAAATCTCGCTTTGATTGCATTTGGAAAATGGCAATGTGTTTAGTATTTACCAAACGAAATTTGCTTACACAAATGAAAGAATTTATCACGTTAGGAGCGATTGCAGGGAAGGAGAGAGGAGAGGAGGGGTGGGGGGAAAGAGAGAAGGGGGGTGTAATTCACTTACACCGTTACACTATCCGAAGTCACACCCGAAACCGCCAACAAAATTATCTTAAGCTGCCAAAATGATCGGCATAATTTATTTACTTTGCGAGAGAGACGGAAAAGCTAGAGAAATAATTAAATAAGCCGGGAAGAAAGCTCATTACTGACACTGTCTTCTGCTTCATCACCACCACTACCATCATCATCGTCGTCTCTCTCTCTCTCTCTCTTTAAATGAAACCTCATCCATAGGCAACAACAATCAAGCCACCAAGAGATAAGGACCGACGCATCCGCCTAGTAGTCTTACTTGGATGCTTTTATTTACTTTAAGCATCTCTCCCCGTATCTCTTCCTTTTTCTCTCTCTCGGAACAATCTTCAGCCTGGGCGAACGGAAGGCACCATTTCAGCGGCAGCCCTCTGGAGGTGTCGTGAGATGCCACCCGTACCACGCTTACTCGGGAGTAAGGCCAAGTGAACTCACTGGGATCGATCTCCGAGTAAACGTGAAGGGTTGCCTCTTCTCGGGCTCCCTCCTTTCAGTTCTATGGAGCCATTCTGCCGTTTCGATCCCATGGGTGCACAATGGCATGCTTGGTAGTTTCTGATGGAATTTTCCTGTGGATTTCCTTTTTAAATGCTAAATTTTATTTTATTTTGCGGTGGCGACGGGAGAGGACGACTTTTGCTTGAACTCGAGCGAATTCGGCTGAGCGGCTGGAATGTGAAGCAATGAATACTCATTCACTCATTCCGGAGTATTTTCTTTTCTTTCGGTATTTCATTCCTTCATTCATTGCTTATAAAATTCTCTCTCTCTCTTTTTTATAATTTTTTTTTGAGGAGCCATAACCGGGAGCAAGGCAGACAGAGAGATGAATCACAAGCCCTTGAAACCGTTTCCGTATCTAAAATAAATGCAGATTTGGAAAATCAAAGCGTAGAAGTCTTAGCCCCTTTCTATAAATGTAATATCAACGAATTTTATCTTTCCATTCAACGGGGAAAGGACAATGGGGCATCCTAAACTAGAAACAATATAACGCGAATACTGTATAGTGCGATTTTCTCCTGTTAATTCTCTGGCAGCTCCATCCTAGGCAGAAGTTAAGATCCATTGGACTCTCTGGGACTTACTCCTAGGTAAGTGAAGTGTACACGCCATTACAAGGAAAACGAATAAAATAGGGGTCTCTCAAGCAGAAATACTTTTGAAACGACTTGCCTGGGAAATCGCAGCGCCTTATGAACTGGTATGTCATTTTGACCCCTCTTCCACCCATCCGCCTGTCTCATTTCCTTCCTCAGTCCCCTACAAGCTCTTCACCGACCACGGAGGGTTGAACGAGAAAAGAAAGCAAAGGCGTATCCGGACCACCTTCACCAGCGCCCAACTCAAGGAACTGGAGAGGGTATTTGCAGAGACCCACTATCCCGACATTTACACCAGGGAGGAGCTGGCCTTAAAGATCGACCTCACGGAAGCCAGAGTTCAGGTAGGTAAAGGATCCTTCAGGAGTTGCTCTTTTTAAAAAACGGACTTTGGGGTGCTTAAAATGTGCTCCTGGATTACTTAAAACTCAGGAGCTGCAGCAGCAGCCCCCCCTTCCTCTGTGCCAACCAATTCCACAATCCGTTGTGACAGGTCTCACAATACAGAAATGACCTATCTGTCAGGATGTGCCACCGATTCAGGTATTGACTAGGAGAAGAAAGAGGAACGTGTTACCTTTTTATTTTTGAAAATATATCTGTAGTTTTTCTTTTAAAAAAAAGGTTTGGTTATGTGAAAGGAATTTATCTTTGCTGCAGTGTTGCTTTCAAAAATCCAGATCATGTATTTTGTGTCTAGTTATTTCTCCATTAGCCACAGGAGGCATCTTAGATGCTGGAATAAAATAAGCATACTGCTTGACACCTAAGGTTTCAAAATCTCTGCTGTGGATTAGATCTGCTAGAGATGGGAGCTCTAATTGATTAGCTATATTTGGGCACAAGATAATTTTTCCATTGTCTCCTGAGGACAGGACAGGTTATCTCTGTGATCTGGATCACTTGCAGGGGCTGCCTGTTTTAGGCAGACTCTTAATCCGTTATTTTTCTTGTCAAATGAAACATCACAAACTTGACACTGCTTGAAGCTGAACTAAATATTTGGGTCCCTTCTCCAATTATAAGTGTGGACAATTATATATCTCTCTCATTTTATAGGCTGGGAAGCAGGAGGTTTATTATAGTTTCCACAGAAGGGTAGATATGACCATTGGATTAAATAAGGGGGATATATATATACACAAGTATATACAGATAGACAGATATTTCCTGCTTATTTCATCCAATAGTCATGGATGAAATGTAAGACTGGAGTCTAAAAACAGGAAAGGTCTTAAATCAAAAACAAACACACTGATTGATTGATTTGCAGTTAGTTCAGATACATCATTCTCCCTTTCTTTGTTTTTGCCCGTTCTGAAATAACTACCTCATCAGTAGCCACTGAAGAGGATTAGATTCTTCACACCATAAACATTCCATCCATTTAACACTCTCCAGTGTCCTGTTTGTGATCACAAAAGATTGGTTTAAAATGTGTCAAGAAATAACAGTGTGGGTCATTAAGGTTGCCATCCTCTATAGAGAGCAAAAGCCCTGGTGAGCATTGAAAAGAACATTGAAAATATTGGGAGAGAGAGGAAGTGATTTTTCTGCTAGTACAAGTGATAAAGAACAGTTTTATGGTTTTGTCCTCTGGGCCTCCACATCGCTAATCTTAGGCACATACCCTGTGGAGTAAACCTCATTGAACGTGACATGATTTATTTCTCAGTAAACAAAGCTGCAACAGCCCTAACATGCTGATGGTTAGGGAAGCAGCTCATTTGTACAACAGGCCAGAGAAGCATTCAGGCCTGGCAAAATACAGTGAGGAAATACAAGGAGTGAGGAAATATAAGGACAAGGTGAAGACTTGAAGAGAGATGTTACTATACACCCATATTGCAGGACAGGAAGCACTTCAAAGAGGAGAGAATTGCAACCTTGGTGAGCTTAGACAATATTGGTGTTGTTAAGTCATTGGGTAGCTGGCCGGATAGCTCCCTGAGCTGAAGCACCTGGGTGCAAAGCTGGAGCGGGGAGTTAAANNNNGGGGGGGGGGGGGAGACAGCTTGTGCAGCCTTGAGCAAGCTACCCAGTCCCCCGAATACTCCAGAAGGGACGCATGAACCACTTCTGAGTACTCAGTACCTAGAAAGCTCTAGAAAAGACCACTGTAAGTCAGAAAACAACTTGATGGCACATCATTCCTTAGTGATTTTGTAAATCAAATATGACCAAAATTCTGGTTTTGTGCCAATCACCCACAAAACACACCTGACAAGATCTTCAGAAATTGTTCTGTTGGCTGAAACTGGTTGTGCAGCCTTCTTTTTGTCTACCAGCAGAAGCCAATCAGGACACAACGAGAATTCACAAGCAGATCTACGCTACATCTCTATGTCTGTGGTTAATGGTAGAATGAGCAAGTTTGTACCATATTACAGTTGTACCATATCAGTCAGTTTAGTAACAGGATTTCACTGCAGCCTTGTCAACACACTGCTTACTTGGTGCCTAAATTGTTGCTGCTTGGCGTAGTAAGTCACAACTAAAGCAGACCCCCTGAATCAATGGAACCTATAGAGGAACAGATTCACTAAATCCCCACTGATTCAAGGCAATATACTGCAGCAGTGAACTCTTGAAGAAAGTACAAAGAGTTTCTTGTGTCTGGCTGAATTTGCAGCCTATCCCTCTTTAGGTTTCCCCTTTTTCTCTTTAGGCACATACAAACTGCTTTATCCAATGCAGTTATCCTTTAGATAATGGGCCTAATATAAAAACCCTTTATAATTATCATTAACTTAGAACTGCAGCGTTGGAAGGGCCCCTGTGAATTGCTCAGTCCAGCCCCTGTCAAGGAGGCACAGTGGGGAATCAAACTCCCAATCTCTGGGCCTGCAGCCAGAAACCTAAACCACAATATTTTATCACAAAGCAAATACAGTTAGAGAAAAACAACAACTGTACATCAATCACTCTGACAGATTATCTTGACAGTTTGGCCTCAAATTTAAAATATACCACTATTTTTGTAACCCTGTTCTATTGTTCATTTTTAAAATATATATATAGTGGGAGCTTCCAAAACTGCAAGTGGTCTAGGCCTCTCTTGACCTCTGCCAGACTCTGATCAGGACAGTAAGGAATGGGAAAGGCTTCATGTTATTTTTTTTTTAATTAAAGTAAACAGCAGAAGTCACTTATCACAGAAAAATCACCTCTCAAATTCGATAGATAATAGGTGGTAAAGAAGCGTTTGTGTGTGTGTTTTTCAGGCTTCCAGCATACATTATTCTGGATTAGGGTTAGCTAAGAAGCGAGGACAAGATGTGTTAGGAAAGTAAACAGCAGCCTTTAATGCTGTTTACGGGTTGCAAATCCAGAATCATTTCCTCCCCTTGCTCTTCCAGAGTAAGCAGGACGAAAAGCATCCTTTTTGAAAAAGGTGCGGCGGGCCGGCCGCGGCGAGGGGAAGCGCCCCACCACGCCACCCGTGTCTCCCGCTCTCTGACCCGGGCTCTCCCTCCCTCTCCTTTCGCCCAGGTCTGGTTCCAGAACCGCCGGGCGAAATTCCGCAAGCAGGAGCGGGCGGCGGCGGCAGCGGCGGCC